AGAGGAGGAGATGCATGTTTGAGAAGCCCTCTCCTCCTCTGTGTTGCTTATAGACGATCTGGTACACTATGTAGAGATCCTGAATGATCTTTTGTGGACAGCCTTGTTGCTGCGGTGGATGCAAGTTCAGAAATCCTGTAAGCTCCTGGGGTCTGAGACTTCCCGTGTTATGTGCTACTGGTACATTATGTGGAACCAGGAATATGACTTCGCTCAGGGTGTCTTATACGGAGTATCCAGTATTTCAGGATTTGCACATTCTCTGTTCTGCCACGTTCTAGGAGTGGTCTCAGGGTGTGTTTCAGACAGTGGGCTTGAGGACGGTCCGTTTCATCTAGACACAGATAATCCCGAACACCTAGAAGCCGTAATCCGTTCTAACCCAGAGTCAGTTTATATGTCAACAAGCCAACAAGCCAACATGACCTCCTGTCGAAATTACACGTGTATCCTCGCTCAAAAAAAACCCCATTATTAACCTCGATTCACAGAGGGGAAACGTTCCTCATAAGAGACTGGATCATATTTTTTTTTTTTTTTTACCATGTTACCGTCTCTGTTTCTAGTCCGGTGATCATTTTGTGAATATAATTGATTGTTTACCTGTGTGATGTCTGTTGCGTTATAAAATTCATACAGTATCATTTTAAAGGGCCTCTTCCTTTTTTTTTTTTAACAACTGACGTGTACGTTGATTGTTGGCCAGCCTCAAGTTAACCTCTTCCATCAATCAAGTTACACCTAGTGAGTTGTGAGAAACGCTCATGGTTTATTAAGATATTTCAGGCAGGGACACTAAAAAGATACATTTACATTAATTAGGAAATGGGACGCGTGTCACAATTAACAGTAAAAAAAATATATAAAAATGGACAAATTGCGTTAAATGTATAAGTACATTTCAAAAGCGATGACATAACCTGTAAGAACTATTTCTGGGGAAGGTTTATGAGAAATAATTCCTGAAACGTTGTAACAGCTTGTCACTGGCAGCCTCTCATGTTAATATTAATACTAACTGGATAAAATGACCTAGGATAGATCATAGAAGCTATAAATCAAATCATTCTCAGAAAATTGTGTAAACCAGCAGGTCTTCAGTGCAAACAATTGTACCTTTCAGGGATACAATGCTCCTGTAAAATACTGAGTGAGTCATCAGACAGACCACAAAGCTGTTTCAGCCTGACATCGTTCTATCTTGCTGATAAAGGCTTCAGGGACAGAACACTCCTGAAAAATATTTAGGCAGTAAGCAATCATAAAACTGTTTGTCAGTCATATTCCGTTTGATCTCACAAGAGACCCTGCCTCTAAACAATGATATAGGCATGTTCCACATACTAAATCAAGTAAGTAGCTGTTAACAAATAGAGACTTTTCGTTGTAATATTGAATCTGAGTTATCTAGGAGGAAGGGATGTACTGATATATAAAAGCAAAAAGGTTTTAAAATGATCTTATCAGAAAATCCGCCTGCCGCATTCCCTCTCTCTGACATTACCACGTTCGACAAAAACTAATCTAAAGTCCAACTTTGAAACAGTGTGTACGAAAGGTTCAAACAAAATAGATCTTTTTTGTAAATTGATGCACATTCACGATTTTTAACAAGAGCCTCTTAGATACATCACCAAGTGGAATATTGACAGCAAGAATACCCCCTACTTCTAGGGATAAAATCCAGGTGTCTCTTGGTCTGTTAGGGGACTTTACTTAAACAGTTTGTCCAATAAGTAGAGGGGGCTGTCTGCAGCCAAATGCAGTGATTATGGTGCTTAGATCGACCCTAATTAAAGAATAACTTAAATCTTTATCCAACACAGGAGGGTGTTGTTATTGTTATTCAAGGAATAGGTCAGCTGATCTACTTTATACCTCTTACTGTTTTACAACGCCGGTGGATTTGTCATCTTATCCACAGAACTGAAGCGGACAGCCAGCTCTGCTCTGCGTCCCCAGCTCACCACCTTTACGCCCCAAAAAATGGATTGCAAACACAGTAAGTCATCACGATTTTTACATGTCCACAGCCTTGTTCACTAAAAGCAAAGCCACAGCAGTTAATCTTCCAGGAATCTGGGGAACCGATGTAGAGACCAGAATCTCTACCCCGACATTATGGACCTGTGTGCTTACTGTCTGCTAAGGGTTATTTATGGATCAAAGTGGAAATGTTAAAATAGAAAAAGAAACAACCAGTAACAACATTAACGTAGGAGCGCACAATAAAATGTGACCTTATCTCCTCCGCATTCTTATTTTCATTAAACTCTTATCGAATAGCAATAAAACCAGCCCTCTGTTACGGATTCCATTTCAGAAACAATCACGATGAAAAATAACTCAAAAGGCAAATCCCACATTCCCTGCAGTTAGGTCTACACACAATGAGGTAGGTTGTCAACAACAGGATTCTAGAACTCATTCTAAATGGAGTTCTGGATAATAACCCAGATAATAATTCACATTTATCCAGAAAGGCATTCACATTCATCCAGATAGTGAGCCACATTTATACAGATAGTGATCCACATTCATCCAGATAGTGAGCCACATCCACATTCATCCAGATAGTGATTCACATTCATCCAGATAGTGATTCACATTCATCCAGATAGTGATTCACATTCATCCAGATAGTGATTCACATTCATCCAGATAGTGATTCACATTCATCCAGATAGTGATTCACATTCATCCAGATAGTGATCCACATTCATCCAGATAGTGATCCACATTCATCCAGATAGTGATCCACATTTATACAGATAGTGATCCACATTTATCCAGATAGTGATCCACATTCATCCAGATAGTGAGCCACATTCATCCAGATAGTGAGCCACATTTATCCAGATAGTGAGCCACAGTCATCCAGATAGTGATCCACATTTATACAGAGTGATCCACATTCCCATTCATCCAGATAGTGATTCACAGTCATCCAGAGAGTGATTCACAGTCATCCAGAGAGTGATTCACAGTCATCCAGAGAGTGATTCACATTCATCCAGATAGTGATCCACATTCATCCAGATAGTGAGCCACATTCCCATTTATCCAGATAGTGATTCACATTCATACAGATAGTGATCCACATTCATAGTGATTCACATTCAGTCATCCAGATAGTGATTCACATTTATACAGATAGTGATCCACATTCATCCAGATGGTGATCCACATTCATCCAGATAGTGAATCACATTCATCCAGTGATCCACATTCATCCAGATAGTGATCCAGATTCCTACAGATAGTGATCCAGATTCCTACAGATAGTGATTCAAATTCAAACAGATAGTGATCCACATTTATACAGTTAGTGATTCACATTCATAGTGATTCACATTCACAGTCATACAAAGTTATCCACATTCACAGTGATCCACATTCACATTCATCCAGATAGTGATCCACATTCATACAGATAGTGATCCACATTTATACAGATAGTGAGCCACATTCATCCAGATAGTGAGCCACATTCCCATTTATCCAGATAGTGATCCACATTTATACAGATGGTGATTCACATTCATAGATAATGATCCACATTCATCCAGATAGTGAGCCACATTCCCATTTATCCAGATAGTGATCCAAATTCATACAGATAGTGATCCACATTCATCCAGATAGTGATCCACATTCATCCAGATGGTGATCCACATTCATCCAGATGGTGATCCACATTCATACCGATGGTGATCCACATTCATACCGATGGTGATCCACATTCATCCAGATGGTGATCCACATTTATCCAGATGGTGATTCACATTCACCCAGATGGTGATCCACATTCATCCAGATAGTGATCCACATTCATACAGATGGTGATCCACATTCATCCA